GTGCTCCCGTTACACATATAAGACTCTATTTCATGAGGCTATAATTATCTGCTGGTCATTGATTGCCCAGTGGTAAGACTGTAAGAGTAACTGTAAGACTAAGACAAATAAACAAAAGTGCAAGCTTTCGAATTTTCATATTCTATGAAATATATCACATGTCCTTACTTGAACTTGATTAGGTCTCCTCAATCATTATAGAGTAGCCTTCAGGCTGCAACAATGAACTCCCGTTTGTGTCGTATCATTTCTTTTTAGTGCTTGCGCGGTCACCAGCAAACACACTATCTGTCGATATCTGTGTCTGTGTTTCCTGAGAACGATGCAGCGTCTTCCAGCAAACATTTCAACCAATTCTTTTACGGGTGATCACTGGATCTTCTTCCATGCGCAGAGGTCCAATAAATGAGGTTTCTAAAAAACCTGGTGTCGGGCACTGGTTTGTAGGTTTATAACCTACCAAGACCTGCGCCGAGTTGGACTCGTCGACGGTCTAATATTTGGAACAAATATTTAACTGGTGACATGGCCAAACCAGCTCAGGCGGTTTGCTTCTATGTAGTCTCTATTTGATTTAACCTCGCACGTGGTCAAGCACTTTAGTTTTTCTAACTCGGTCGAGCCATCTTATCCTAAGTACTCTCCTCGAGCAATGCTGATGGAACACCTCAAAGTGATGTAGCTGCTTAATTTGGTTGTGTGCCATACCTCACTACCATAAAGCTATAAAGCAATATTGACAAAACTGCCGCTTTATAGATTCTGATCTACGGTTTATCCATATATTACTGAGTTGGTTTAAGGATATATATTCGCATATATCCACACTATATTTACATTACACGTTCAACATGATATCATTATATCATTATCAGTGCAGTGTGTACAACACCAACTACACCATCTCGAAGTGATTACTGAGTTGGTTGAAGGATATAGAGGTTTTCTGAACAGTAATGTTCACAGTCGCTGACATAATCATAATGTGTCGCTGCTATTTTATATTGTTATATTTGGCAAATTGGGGTAAAAATTGGCACAATCGAGTTTTGTTAAAATTTCGAAATATTGTTATAATTCATAATCATTTCTTGAACCAGATTTTTAAGTTTCATTTTCAAAGATTGCCACCCAATACCCCTTTATGATGTTAAATATATTGCCGTGAGCCGTTTCCATGATTCCTTGGGGTTTCAACTCTGGCATGAATGTTGTGCCCAAGTCTTGCCATAATTGCACTTTGCATTGCTTGATTTAAATCCTCGAGGAAAATTTATCGACAAATCTTCCAAAACTCAAAAGGTATATCTGATATCTCCTATTGTAGCCGTGCAGCGTGTTAGTTTCACAAACGTTGCCAGCCGCTGAATCTCACAGCCTGGAAGGAAGAGAATCGTTAAAAACTTACAACATCCTTGAAGAGTTGAAGGGGTTTTTATACTTTGGTTACCGAGCAGATTCGGAGCCAAAACTGCTTAGTTTTGGGTTCTAATGTTCCGCGAATTCCAAAATTCCGCGAACAGATCAACTAGCTGGCAGGTAGCAATCATGATTGATGATGTCACGTTTTAACGATAAGAAAATATCACGCCATGACTGCTTTTTCGAGCTTAACGGGTGATACTCGTAAAATATCAAGGCCACTCAAGGCTCAGAAATAGTCATATGGACTCTTTATGTTTTGTAAGCTCTATCTCACCTCGAGCTAGCTCCAACGCTTTTGCCAAGAATTTCTTCTATAGGACCCACACTAAGTGGAATCACATTCCTCTAGATATCCGTGAGATAGAGAGTATCACTGATTTTAAAAGTAAACTTTCCACTTACATGTGGGGGAAAATTATCCCGGTGGATTCGGACTCTGAACTTGACTATTCAATAGAAACAAATCCGTAAAATAGTTTATTTAAGATTATCTATTCTTGCTGTCTGCATTCACGTATTTCTCAATTTCATCTCACAGCACTGCATCACGAACTAGATGGCCACATTTTTCACTTTACAATATTTTATGAATTGATTGAATGGGTGTGTGATTTTGTTTAAAGTAACTTATTACAATTTTATAAGGGCCCATGCTTGTGCAGGAGCTGCATTTGCACTCAATATCTGTGTTTTGGTGACCCTCAGGTCCTTTGGTTACATACATTTTGTCCGATACAATTTCAACTTTGACGATCCATGCTTAGAGGACAATATTATATTTAACTAATTCATTGTGTAAACTTGTATGTAATTGACTGATTTGAAAGATTTCAATAAAAAAATCTGTTCCTACAATTTCGAGCTAGAAGGAATCGTTAAGAACTTATGGCATTCCTCCTCCACTGCATGCTTCCTTCCATGCGGTAGTATAATTTCAGTACTTCATAAGCTCCATAAAATGCTTCCTTCGGTAAAGAGGTGTGGCTGTAGTCTTAAAACTCAAAAAAAATAAAAGTCAACAAGTTGTTTATAATTGTCACTATTTCACCATTATCTCAAGAATGCAGGTACGTTTATTTCCGAATATGCCACTGTGACGGTAATTGTATTTTCACCCGATCGGCAATCTGGCAACAAAATAAAAGGATAGGGGGCTTTATTATAATTTGCTGGGTTTATAAATTATTGCCTACCTGCCTGCCTGCCTAGGTCGATCCAGATGAAGTCTGAAAAATAAATTATTACAATATGATAATAATGAATTATTACATAATCCAAAACTAGAAGGTTTTGCATTGTAAAGTGCTCCCGTTACACATATAAGACTCTATTTCATGAGGCTATAATTATCTGCTGGTCATTGATTGCCCAGTGGTAAGACTGTAAGAGTAACTGTAAGACTAAGACAAATAAACAAAAGTGCAAGCTTTCGAATTTTCATATTCTATGAAATATATCACATGTCCTTACTTGAACTTGATTAGGTCTCCTCAATCATTATAGAGTAGCCTTCAGGCTGCAACAATGAACTCCCGTTTGTGTCGTATCATTTCTTTTTAGTGCTTGCGCGGTCACCAGCAAACACACTATCTGTCGATATCTGTGTCTGTGTTTCCTGAGAACGATGCAGCGTCTTCCAGCAAACATTTCAACCAATTCTTTTACGGGTGATCACTGGATCTTCTTCCATGCGCAGAGGTCCAATAAATGAGGTTTCTAAAAAACCTGGTGTCGGGCACTGGTTTGTAGGTTTATAACCTACCAAGACCTGCGCCGAGTTGGACTCGTCGACGGTCTAATATTTGGAACAAATATTTAACTGGTGACATGGCCAAACCAGCTCAGGCGGTTTGCTTCTATGTAGTCTCTATTTGATTTAACCTCGCACGTGGTCAAGCACTTTAGTTTTTCTAACTCGGTCGAGCCATCTTATCCTAAGTACTCTCCTCGAGCAATGCTGATGGAACACCTCAAAGTGATGTAGCTGCTTAATTTGGTTGTGTGCCATACCTCACTACCATAAAGCTATAAAGCAATATTGACAAAACTGCCGCTTTATAGATTCTGATCTGCGGTTTATCCATATATTACTGAGTTGGTTGAAGGATATATATTCGCATATATCCACACTATATTTACATTACACGTTCAACATGATATCATTATATCATTATTAGTGCAGTGTGTACAACACCAATTACACCATCTCGAAGTGATTACTGAGTTGGTTGAAGGATATAGAGGTTTTCTGAACAGTAATGTTCACAGTCGCTGACATAATCATAATGTGTCGCTGCTATTTTACATTGTTATATTTGGCAAATTGGGGTAAAAATTGGCACAATCGAGTTTTGTTAAAATTTCGAAATATTGTTATAATTCATAATCATTTCTTGAACCAAATTTTTAAGTTTCATTTTCAAAGATTGCCACCCAATACCCCTTTATGATGTTAAATATGTTGCCGTGAGCCGTTTCCATGATTCCTTGGGGTTTCAACTCTGGCATGAATGTTGTGCCCAAGTCTTGCCATAATTGCACTTTGCATTGCTTGATTTAAATCCTCGAGGAAAATTTATCGACAAATCTTCCAAAAGGTATATCTGATATCTCCTATTAATTGTAGCCGTGCAGCGTGCTAGTTTCACAAACGTTGCCAGCCGCTGAATCTCACAACCTAGGAAGGAAGAGAATCGTTAAAAACTAACAACATTCCTTGAAGAGTTGAAGGGGTTTTTATAGTTACAATGCCATTTTTAATCTGCGATCTTATCAAGCTAACTTATTGTTGGTTCACCCATGCAATGGTGAACCAACAACCTAGGTTAGCTTAATAAGATCGCAGATTAAAAATGCAGTCAGTGTTGGATTTAAAACTTATTTTTGTTATCTCACTGAATCATGTTACATGGAATCTCAAGCCTTCATTACAATCACTGTGGTGACAATAACTGGTGTAAATGGTTTTTTTCCACCATCAAACTGCTATTATAATATATCCCGTCCCGAACTAGTTTAACTTAAACTAAACACTGCAGTTGATAGCAGTCTTGTAGTCTATCAGTTACATTACGAATTGTCTAGATAACATAATCTTTAACTGAAACGGAAGTATGCAGTTTACTTCACCTATAACCCATGTATCTACGCGTACTACGTGACGCGCTTGTTTTTACAAGTGAATAGCCGCGTACTATGGGCGTACCATGGCGGTCGAGCAAAAACGTTGCAAAAAAACTGTTGCTATTTCTTTTACTTTTGGGGATTGACCCGAGCCGGCAAGGTTTCTCTCATGTATTTAAATGCATGTAATTTTAAATTTAAGCCCCCTCTCAGTAGTCAGTAAGCTACTTTACATGTAGAAATTACAGCTACTGCTAGCTTGTTTTCCCGGGATTTGCTGGATTTATAGATTATTTCACATTTATGAACTTGAAGAATGATCAAGACATAATCCAAAACTAAAAGGTTTTGCATCGAGAAATGTTAACGTTAGTCGTTACATACATGGAAAAATATCATAACTTCGTTTCAATGAAATTATCTTAATTAACTCTACCTTAGGTCATTGCATCATGTCGATCGAGCTGGATGACATGGCGTCAAAACAAGAAAACCCTCCCAATGTTGCCGTTATGGCTCCTTCATCTAATTCCATCGATAACCGTGCAATGTGCACAGTAAAGCGAATGTTAGTCGTTTTAAATGCCATTATTGTTATAATCCTTGCCATCGGCTTGGTTGTTGTATCACTAAGGGCAAGGCTGATAAACGTCATCGCAGAAGATGAAAAACCTACTGGGCCAAACCCTACTCTGATCCAACCTCTTGTGAATAACCAATGGGTCTTTCATACCAATCAGATTACTGAGAAGATCGGTAACCGAACCTACACAGTAAACACGATCAATGGAAACATAAAAGGGCCAGCTATTCACGTAAGAAACGGTGACCAACTTAAAGTCAGAGCAACTAACGGAATCGTAGGCGCTCAATTATCCGTTCACTGGCACGGATTTAACATGAAAAACGCTCAAGTTTTTGATGGAGTGGTAGGTCTTACGCAGTGTGCCATATCCCCTGGAAACTCGTTCCTGTACGATTGGAAGGTGAACGAACAGCCCGGTACCTATTGGTATCACACACATGGGAATGAAGTGGAAGCTTCCGGTCAAGACTTCATCCGCGGGCCACTTATCGTCCATGACGAACATGCACCGTATCGCATACCTACATCTGAATACCAGTTTGGAACTGAAACTATTCTTTTTTACGTTGACCTTTATCCAAACTATAATGGTTGGGACTTTCATGACATGTCACCAGACGAGGACAGTATAGAAGGCAATTCGATTACCACACCAGGATGGGCAGGCGGTGTCTTGAACGGCGAGCATGACCCGGAATTCAAAGTGAAGAATGGCGAACACACATTTCGAATCATCAATGGTGGATTTAAAAATCCCTACTTCTTTAGTATCGACGGATACAATTTGACGGTGGTTGCTACTGATGGGTACCCAGTGAAGCCTTATAAAACTGAAGTGTTGCAGATCGGGATTGCGGAGAGATATGATGTTAATATCACTTTCAACATTGATACTGACACAGATGTGACGTGGATAAGGGCAATGACTCCTTCAAAGAACCAGAAGAAAGGAATGGCGAGTGTCCTGCGAATAAGGAGAGATGATTCAATTCCTTTCAGCACAGGTGTCCCCCCTAACAAAGACATGAAAGCATTCATGATAAAAGCGTGGAGTATCCTCAATTGTAAATTTTACAAACCTCCAGAGGATTACAAATGCCATCCTGTCACAGAACTTGAACCCAAAATAAAATGGAAATTATCGGATGAATATGAATATCACACGGTCGACATTATAGGCTATTTCTTTTTGTCCATTGATAACAAGACATATACACAAAATCTTATTCCAAAAAAAGCAGTTATCAAGAGATCAACGGAAAACGACAAAAATCCAAATACTAATATGAATATATTAGACTTAAAACACAATAAATCCGTCACCATTGTGATCAGAAACAGGTCCTTTATGAACCACCCAATGCATCTGCATGGACATCATTACGAAGTTCTTGATATCGCTTTAAGAAAAGTTAAAAATTGTGACAGGGAATTATGTCCATTACTTGATCTAAACACAGATTTGTCGCAGCCAATAGATGAACTGATGAAAAGGGAAAAACGAGGCGTCCTAAAGGATACTGTTATCTTGCCTCCTGGTGGAGCAGTTGCTTTGAGGATCCAATCTGATAACCCTGGCGTATGGTTCTTTCATTGTCATATCCATGACCATCTTCTATCTGGACTCGCTTTAGCACTCAACGAAAGAAACTACATGTTTTCCCAAACAAAATTTCCTAAAGACTACCCGTCTTGTGTCTACTCCGGAAATTTGCAGTTTCTCCGAACGGCAACATGTGACTGCGATAAAGATGACGAACAATTCATGAAATCTTTCGAAAATACTGTCAAACCTACTCTCAAAAAGAATGGGAAAAGAGCGCTCCAGATGAAGTGCAGTACAGCTAGTGGGTGCAAGGTACAAGGACATTGACAAAGAAAGTAAGAATATGAATGACAAATAAGAAATGGTCTGTATTTGTTTTTAATTTTTAGCAGTGTTCCTTAGTGCACGTCAACAAAACCCTAAATCGACAAACAGCTCTTATAGCTAAAATATTAATTACGGATATTTCAAATAAGGTTTTTAGATACTTTTACGCATGCCATTAAGACCTGCAACTTTTCGATCGCTGAGTTTTGATAGTCTTTTATCGTTATTTTTTCATATCTTTTTAAAAAATTATTACAAAACAAAACGAAAAAGTTTCACTTTTTAGAGCAAATCAAATAATTATGGTTATTTTTACTACTATTAGTTTTTTATATTCTTGCGTTTGATAATTTTTTGCTGATTAAAAACATCTTTTTTACTGAATAGAGCACTGATAGCATGTAATAAACTATGTAAATTTTGCTAAAATATTGTTATGATATCAATTTCTCAAAACCCAACTTCGTATCATTAACCAAATATGAACAAGCTATACCATATACTATTGCACTTAGTAATTAAAAACAGTTTTTTTTTCAGAATGTTATTTTCTATACGTCAAGCCAGGAGTGTTAGGGCTTCTCTTGACCAATTAACGTTTAATCCGTTTAATCCGTTTAAATACGTCAAACCAATTATATAGCGATATTGGCGATGTCAACGATTATAATTGATTAATGATTTTTATTTATGAAAAATTATCACTGACTAGTTCTACCCTTAGAAATGATTCGTTAAAGAAGAACCTGTATCTACACCCCCTGAACGCGAACAGCAGGTAACCATGATCAGGTGACTACGCGCATTTTGAAAATTCTAAAACACTCGTCACTATTTGTAGGCACGACAATCACACCCGTGATATTTTAAAGTGTGCATCTTGTAGAAAATAAATGTGGCTATCCAGTGACCAGTATCCACTATCCATGCAGCTAAAATGAAGACCTGAACTGTAACAGAAACACAGCACACTCTAGGCCTTAAGGCCTAGCTACCTCCAAAGATTACGTTTTTTTAAAGATTGAAACTTTTTGCTCAGTTTTGTGACCTTGGAGGAAAATCAGGTACTTAATTTAAACTTATAATGTCAACTATGTAACTTCCCATTTCTCATCTAATTTGTACGTGGGCGGTCGTACATACAGACATACATACAGACATACATTATACAGACAGAAATAATCTTTCGAATCATAATAATGACTAGAAAGCCCGTGGTCACAGGGAAGAAGATAATAGTATTCTTTGGTAGTCGTTTTTATCGCATCGAAAAATATCCGTCACAACCGAAGATACAGCCGATTAAAATGTAGCTTGCACTGAACTCAACAAAATTATTACAAAACCGATCGAAATGTCGCTCGGAAATCTGTGCACGTGCGCGTATACATTTCAACACCGTTACCATGGTTACTATGCAGCTTCCTATTTCTCGTCTAATTTGCACGTGGGCGATCGTACTGACAGAATAATTCTTTAAATTATAATATACTAGAAAACCCGTGGTCACAGGGAGGAAGCTAATACTAATAGTAATAGTATTCTTTGGTAGTCGTTTTTATCGCATCAAAAAACTATGCGAGTAAACAGCCCATTAAAATGTAGCTCTCACTCATCACGCACTGAACACAACGTAATTACCACAAAACCGATCAAAATGTCGTAACAACAGTTATTGCACGTGCACGTGCGTGTAACAATCCTCGTCACCATGGTTACTATACAGCTTCCTACTTCTCATCAAATTTGCACGTGGGCGGTCGTACATACATACAGAAATAATTCTTTGAATTATAAGTAAGAAGACTAGAAAACCCGTGGTCACAGGGAGGAACCTAATACTATATAATAGACCTATTTTCTTGTAGCCCTGCAGAGCAATTTAGTTTTTTGTTTATGTTTAGGATTATTAATAATCTGAGTATTCAAATAATATATCTTAATTTAGCATTCCTTCCTTAGAGGCATGTACTCTAAAGATATTTGTCCGTAGCCCGGAAATCTTCTACATCATGATCGGTGGGAGACTGGCAGGCTGGAAGATTTCAAGCTCTGTATTACTATTAGCATAATTTAACAATATGTTTAGAATTAGCATTCCTTCAAAAGGAACAACTGTAAAGATCTTTGTCCTTAGCCCACATGGGGTTTTTTTCACCACGCGACGTGCAGACTGTATGATCTGCAAGGATCCCAAGCTCTGTATAGGTATAGATCTTCATAGATTATTAAATTGAAAACATCGTGTGTTAACAAATGTACACAGTTCTAAAGATCAACAACCCGTCTCCCCTTCTTACATTATGTATGTTTTCAATGTCGCTCCTTCAAAGTTGGGGTTAACATTCTCCGCGTCTATTTTTAATAACAATTATCATTAATCATTATCCTCTTTATCCTAATAATATTGTTGAAAAATTCAATGGAATAAAGGAATAGTGTACAAGAGTAACTCGTCTAATAATAGATGTGGATACTGGCGGGGAGGTGATACATGTTTCGGTTCTACTCACTGTCATGAGTAGAACCGAAGGATCAAAACATATGTTGCTTGTTGCTCGTATTAACTATAAAACATCGATTTTGAGGGATAAGGAAGTGTTTATAGGTTCTGAAACCTAGCTAAATCGATTTTTCGTGCAATTTTAGGTCAGAAACAGTCATCAAAATGAGTTAATAAAAAGGTCGATTTCTCGGTAAATTTTGAGCTTTCGTTCAAATAAATATTTTGCTAAGAACTTAAAAACGCGCATATTCAATCCTCGCGCAAATAAATCATAAGGAGGCGAATATTTTGAGCTTTCGTTCAGAAAATAATTCGGGGCCTTCAAAGGGGGGTATCAAGAAGGCGTTACAAGTGTAACAAGCGTTCCATAATACAAAATATGTATCACCTCTTCAACCCGCCTAACAGGGGCTTACCCTAAAAATGTAAACAAACATGTACACCTCTTCAACCCGCCTAACAGGGGCTTACTATTAAAGTAAACAAACATGTATCACCTCCCCGCCAGTATCCACATCTATAAACCTAATACCTATGTAAACATAAAACAAGTTTGATTGTTAATTGTTAATATTCTCGGTCTATTATTTGTAGTTATTCACACTGCATCACATGATGGTCGCAACACACTGCCAACATTCAAAGTGTTACATTTCAAGACTTCTTTCACGAAAACCTCAGCTCATAATGTTTTGCAGGCCGTATAGTAAATTGTAATGGGAAAAGTAAGCAACCTGATTCAATCATTCATTCTCGTTGTCATTGAGGGACGGTAATTTAAGTTCATATCATTTTTTTGAGGGAGGAAACTCTTATAAGCTAATATAAACACGGTCAACTCTACCCAGTTTTTGATTAAAAATATTAACTTTTTTGATTAATCATAAGGCCATAACATTAACAAGATATAATTATAAAACTGAGAAGCTTGCATGACTGAGTAGGGACTTTATTTCAGGGATATCAAAATTGCATCTTTTAAAACATTTCCTCATTTCCTGGCATATATTTCAAACACTGAAGATGGCACTTTGGTACCGAATTAATATAATGTGTCGTCAAGCTGTCCTGCAAAAGCAAAATCTAGTCCGAATAATAAATTGTCCGTAATAAATTTTTGATACATAATAAAATTGTCTTTTCTCAATGACTAATGAGCGAAATACTCATGACTTGATTCTGGTTCAAGACTATAAGTATAATATTAATATTAATATACTGACTCAAAGTGCGGAGCGTCTTTTATTATTTTTTGAATCTGCGATCAGTCCTGTAACAAACTACTATACTTAGCATCGATTAGCATCAGTTCAGCATTATCAACGTAATTTTTGTAAATATAAACAAATAATGATGCATCCTTTCTATGATTATTTGTTTCAGCAAATTATCAAAACACTACTTAAAGAGTATGCAGCACATTGGATGACGTGACTTGAAGTTTAGCTTTGTAGGTTAATGTTACTTAAATAAACTTAAATTTGTAAGGTTTCACCAGTTAACTGCGCCACTCCAAGGCCCTGCTAATTTAAAAAAGGATGACATGACAATAATATTATGACGTCATTCCAAAACTCCGAGGTTTTGCATTTTGAAATCCCAGCCGGCAGATCATAAATAAGATTGTAGCGAATATGCCAAGTGCCGAAGGATCTTTAAACTGGACGGGTATCAATGCTCACATCTTTGTTCTAATTATATTAGTCCGAATAGCTTTTTTTTCGCGTGACTTGCTTCAGCTTCCAAGTTGTGCAAATCTGTACTGGAAAATCATATTCATAATTTTATGTTACTTTTAGCGTTAGCTTTGATTATTTTGTTCATTAAACGCAGCCAATTTTCTTTTTTCAAATCTCAACACTTATTTTGCTTCAGAATTTCCAACAGCCACATTGTTACACAAGTGTAACTGCAGCCAATGGATGCTGGAAAATTATAATTTTATGTTATTTTTAGCGTTCGCTACGATTATTTTATTCATTAAACTCAGTCGATTTTATAATATAGCTATTATAGTCTATACTGACTCAAAGTGTGGAGCGTCTTTTATTATTATTTGGAATCTGCGATCAATCCTGTTTGAGTTCCTGAAGTAAGGTTTACTCAACTACAGCCCGGCCAACTTACATATAGCCTTGCGCCCTTTTGGGAACCAAGCTAGTTCTTCGTATATTATTAAATTGAAAACATCGTGTGTTAACAAATGTACACAGTTCTAAAGATCAACAACCCGTCTCCCCTTCTCACATTATGTATGTTTTCAATGTCGCCTCTTCAAAATTGGGGCTACTATCATTAATCATTATCCTCTTCATCCTAATATGAGTGTTGAAAAATTCGGCAGTATCTAGATAGCCCGACAGCTGTCCGCGGACAACTGTCCACGAACACTGTCTACCAGATCATATTACTGCATAATAACGATATCCCCTGAATCAAGCAGGGTTCAATCGCACGCGAATTTCAATTAGCGTTGGTGTCAATTTCATAACATTTGCGGCCATATGATCTGGTAACCAATCAACTATTCACAAACACCTGTTGATTGATTCAATGATTCAGGGGATACTGTTATTATGCAGTAATATGATGCTGTAGACAGGTGTTCGTGGACAGTTGTCTGCGGACAGGGGTCGGGCTATCTAGATACTGCCAAAAATTCAATGGAATAATGGAATAGTGCACAAGAGTAACTCGTCTAATAATAAACCTAATACCCATGTAAACATAAAACAAGTTTGATTGTTAATTGTTAATATTCTCGGTCTATTATTTGTAGTTATTCACACTGCATCACATGATGGTCGCAACACACTGCCAACATTCAAAGTGTTACATTTCAAGACTTCT